ATTTCCTGGAGTTTTGCAATAAGAGAAATCGGTGTCACTGAGTAGAAAACACTTTTTACTCAGAGCACAGTGTTCTAACATGACCACAGACATTCTTCTAAAATTCTCTGTAATAGTATTAAGCCTTGGCCTGCGTGATAGTAGTTTTACTTTTTCCAGTTAACTTTTGCAGGCCAGACCTACTGCCTTGATGCAGGGACACCACAGATGAAGCAGTATAATCTTGCTCCTTTGTGGGCAATGTCTTTGCTGTGTATTTGTAAGTGGGAATTCTGCCCTGCCTATAGGTGTATGCCACTCTGAACTGATTTTTACCTCCTGCAGATCTCTCAATTTCAGACTTGATGGGTGGCTCTTACAAGCCCAAATGTCAGGTGATGTTTGTTGATAGCACTTGGACTGCTGTGGTTTACTGCTGGACTGCTGCATGATGGGCTGCCTTGAACTGTGGCAGTTCTCTTGCCTCTGCACAAGGCTGTGGTTTCTGCTGCCCAGTTCATTCTTGCAGGAGTTTGAAACACAATTCTCCATCTAAAAACTGATATAACACTGCTGTTCATTGTGGTATAGTGCCACATCCTGAAACAGTTGGGTCAATGCTTAGGAATTGCATAATTAGCTGTAAGAGTGGGGGTTTCCTGGTAGTTATAGAGGTTTTGGTTTTTGATGTGGGTTTTTGGGTTTTTGGATAATGCAAAAATGACTCAAAGAGCTGAGAGTCACTTGATACACATGTACATGGAAGCTGCTTCCATAAGGACGATAGGGACTAACTGCAAAAGCAAAATTACTCAAACTTAAACATTATCAGTGTCAAAATACTTAGGGAAAATATAAACCAGTAAAATCAGTCATTAGGTAAATACTAGCATAGGATCAGTGATTTTAAGAGACCTTTAATACTGTGCACTAAATGTGGATTGTGGTCTTATGTTCAGATTTTTTTAATATGTCACCAGAAGTATGGAAAAGGTGTAAAAGGAAGATTGTCAGCCTTTACACAACAGAAGGCAATGCAATTTTCTAGAATGATTTTCTTCCTACAAAGCTGTAAATTAATAATTGTGTTGCTACTTCTGTAGAATAGCATAAAATAAGTCACCTATGCCAGTGTAAAATGTTTGAGTCTCAAAATTCATAAGTCTACATGCTCGCTTTAAGAAAAAGCAAGCAAAGAATGAGACAGAAATAAATTAACTTGGCTTACAGTCAAAGCATTGTTAAGATACATGGCAGGACAGCAGACATAAAATTGGAGGGAGAAGAAAGTAAAGAATATAATTAAAATGTTTTTCTCTTTCCAGTTACCTGTCTTCTTTTGTTATTCATATACACTTGAAATTGCATGTAAATGATTGATTGACTCAGCGGACTCATTGTAATAACTTATGTTTGATGTGCTATCTTGAAAAAAAATCTTTTGAAATTCTGTCTCTTTTCTTTGTCTGCTGACCTTGTGGCTTTTAATATCTTGTTTCCCATCCGTCTGATTCCATCATAATCTGAGCATAAGTTTTCAGACGTTAATGCAGGTCTCTTTTTGTTCTGATTTAAGTAAGTCTGTAACACAAATATGGGATTTGGCCATCAACAGTAATATTAGAATGGAATGTTGAAATATGTGTTCCCTTTACTGATGTGAAATAAAGAAATGCTTATCTGTAGATATTTGATAATGCATAGTTACAGTGCATAGATGTGTCCTTACAAGCAAATGAATACAGAGATCTCTGTATGATTGTAATACATCTGCTTTAATGTTGTAAGTTCAAAGGTTACTTTTAAGGATTATTTCTTAATTAAAGGAGAAAAGAAATGGGTCTATAAGGTTTCAGGAAAGCAGTTTTAAGTATAGATTTTAAAAATGCTTAGCTGAATATGTCACACAGATGTACCCAAACTCCAGTTTGAGAGATTGATTGTATTATAGATGTTTTTACCGCAAGAAGTGTCTCTAGCAGTGAGGTCCTGAGTCTTGAATTACAGGAGACTTTGGAAAAGTAGACTTATATTGTTACAAACATTTTTTTCTAAAGGATATAATGTCTATAAAAGTGTTCATTTGGGATATCTTTTTTTATGCTTATAGTTCAGCAGTTTGCTTAACAGCTGTAAGATGTAGGTAGATCAATTCTTCGTGTTATTAATGACATAAATTATATATGCTGAAAGGTTTTTTTTTCAGTGCCTTTTTAGTGGGACTAAACCTTTGGAGAGACCAAAGAGAGTGAACTGAGCCAGGAAGAGAGAAAAAGGGAAAGACATGGTAGTCTTGGGCAAGTTTCATGGGACCATAGAAATAGAATCATCTTCTCAGTTTGCTGAACTCATCAGAAAGTTATTGTGAATGTAGCAAAAGGCCACAGTGTTCACTCAATGGTGTATTTTTATGTAAAACACAAAACACCAATATATTTACTTTATTGTGATCTAATAGGCGATGATGCTACAGGTACTGCTAATAATTCATTTTGTCTGGGTAATTTGACTATGAATAAGGTACCCAAATCAGAGATGGTAGTGAGAGGAAGCCAAAAGCTTTTTTTCCTTCATTATTTATTGGAAAAGCAATAATAAGCTTCTTCACACTAAGTAGCAAGTGGAATTGAGACCTTGATATAGTCTGAGCAATTGTTAGTTCCAGCATCGCCATCTTTACTAAGCTCTGACTTCCCTGGCATTTTCGGTCTCTTGCTATTGAAACAAGAGTGAAGCAGGTACTTTAGTGGTGAAATGTCAATATCTAGTGAGCATTATGTTTTAACCCCATTTTTCTTAGTGTACTGTGGACAAGTGCTTTGGAGAAATCTAGATGTGTGGTTTTTTTCCATTACTGAAAATATTACACTCATCTCATCAAGGAAGCTGAAGCCATTTGCAACACTGTGTTAAGAAGATATATTTTTATAAAAGTTTTTTTTTGTGAAGAATTTTGTTTCTCAAACTCCAGTCCCTAATTCTATAGCATAGAATGTAGAAACAAATGGATAGCACGAGATCTTGGCTCGATTACATTCAATATTATTATTTTGGGATTTCTGTTTCACTAGGTTTTAATTCACTATGTCCTTCCCAGAGTTAAGTTTGTAAAGAGTTAAATTAACATTTCCTGTATGGAAAATGTGGAAAGTTAAATGCATACTCTTGGTCTTTAGAATTCAAAACCAGTTGTAATGGATGCATCTTACCTGTCAGTGAAATTTGTGTGTAATATGTCAGCTGTGTAGTATTGCATACAAATACAGAAGAATATATAATGAATAATATTTCATTATCACTGCAGAGCCATTTGCTGTGGCAGACAAATTATCACTATGGAGTGTGATCGCAAACTGAAAAATTACAGAAGTGATAGGTCAAGGCTATGTGTTACTGAATGACACACTCTTGTAACTCGTGAACTCTCTCTATAATCATGGTGTGTTTCATTCTATATTACTGAGGAAAGTTGCAAATTAGGAAAAAAAAATATTTCTAGATACTTTTGGTTCATTTCCTTAACTGCTGAGATTTTCCTAGGGATCAAAGGACAGACATGGTTCAATATTTTAGCCAAATGAAGTGACACTGGGGTATAAAAAGCTGGACCTGTAATCCAGCTACAAAATGTTTTCCAGCAGTACTCAGGAATAGGGACTTGTATTTCTACTTAATATATACAAATACAACTTTTGTCAGTAGCTGGACTCTTATTTGCTGTATACTTTCTTAGGTTTTCTGCTGTACTAAATCACTGCATGCATGATTTACAGTTTAATATTTTCTTTAAATGCTACAGTGACATATTCACATTGTCTTTTCAGAATATATGGAGAAAGAAGAAGAAAATTAAATGGCTTTTGTTTCCTGGGAATTCTTATATAATTCACATATTGGAATATGAATGGTGGACTCTGAATTAATTGCAAGTTTTGTTGTAGACTAGACTGACTAGTAGGTAAAAAATAGTATAAATACTTAGATCATCAAAGCAAATTTCTTCCATCTAATGGGAGAAATATGGAGAAAACTATATTTTTGGAAAAAATTGTTCATGTGGTCTACTGTTTAGGCAACCACTTGCACTTACTGGTGCAGCTAGTTAACAGAATAAAACAAATGCATTGTGTCTGAAGAATTAGGGATAACCTTCCATGGTAACTGTAATGATTTGTTGTTGTTTTCCATGGCTTCAGATATCATCACACACTGTGTTCCCTCAAAGAATTAAGAATCTGCTATGGGTTATAAGAAAGCCATTGATTTTCATGCATTACTGCATCACAAATGTTCATTTCTTTTCCCTAAGATGTAATCATACTTATAAAATATATATTAAAACTCTCACATCCTGGTTCCTAAGTTAGCGTGCTGTATTTTCCCAAAAGTTAATACTTTTCCAGTTCTGTCTGACTAATAACTTGCTAAATCTCTCCTTATCTTCTAATGACAGATGATTTATCAAGGCTCAGGACTTAATTAATATTACAGAACATGTGGGGAGCTGAAGAATTCAGAAATATTTTCCATAGCTTGGACATGTAAAATGAGAAGCATAGGAGAAAACTAAAAGATAATCTTGTAACTGAGGGAAAAATCTTTGTGATTTAAGCATGGGATTGAGGGTCAGGAAATGGTGAGTTCTATCCCACAAAGCCATCATGCTTCCCACTAGACTTTGGACAAGACACTGCTGCAGCTGACCATTCTGCAAACTATTTAGGGTGACACTATTTATGTCTCAGGTTAGTTAAATGGTACATATGTCCAACATTGCTGATGTTACAGGGAACTTATTAATTTTTGAGTTTGTTGAGTTGTACTTAAGCACTTCTGTGATATAGCTGTAGCTTGAGTTTTTCTCATAGTAAAAAAGTGTACAAAATGTATAATATCTAAAGGATGCTTTTGTGATATAAATATGTTGACTTATGTATCTAAAGCGCATAGAAGGAAATCTCAGAGAAGCTGTCAATGAAGTTTCAGCTTTCCTGAATACTATACTTTTTTTCCATTTTCAGGTTGCATGTCTCACTCATGTAGCAGCTAATTACCTTAATTGCAAAATTGAAGCGAAACGCTGGGGTACTGCTCATGGGAGTATTGTTCCATATCAGGTAAGCAGAAAACATTAGTTTTCTTCCCCTTGGAATTAATTAGTTTGTGTACTATGAGATTGAGAACTGACTTTTCCCATGACCTGTAGTCTGTAATGTGTCTGTGTTGAGGTATGCCAAGGTTCTGTTGTTCATTGTCATCTCTGCATTTTTGCATATTTCTTCATCAGCAGTAGATTAGTAACAGAACACTGAAATAGATCAAAGGTGTTTGCTGAAACTGGACGACTTTAAAGCTAGAATGATGACTTGACTGGTTTTCACCTAACAGAGAAACGCTTTTTTTTAGGGTTACCTGACTTCCATTCCATACCAGTTATAAATGGAGATCTTTCAATCTTTTCCCTCTGAATTTTGGTGGTTTTATCTTGTGAGACTTCAAGAGCAGTCTAAATGGCCAAGATAATCTGGCAGTGCTACATCTTTGTAATTTTCTATTGATTTTGCTACAAATCACTGCCTCAGTGAGATAACAGGTTGACAAAAGGAATTAACCAGAACTCAGATTTCCTCAGCAAAATTCATACTCTGCTATATCTAATGAAGGGTTGACATTCCTTAAAATAACATGACCTTCATCATATAAACAAACACAGGGGAAAAAAAATCATCTCACTGCAAGTTTTGTCTTACTTTTGACCTGTATGGTAAACTCTTCTAGCAAACAAAAACTTTGTTCTTTTCTAGCTGTTCATCATCTAGATGTTCAATGTTCTTAGATGGAGGTTATTCATTTGTATTTAAGTTTAAAAAGTTGATTCTTTTTTTTCATAATTTTTGGCATTTCTTATCAAGTAGTCATGTTTGCATCTAGCTGGGCAGAGCCTGTATTTCTTTATTTATTTCCAGAGTCTTTTAAGCCCTTGAGAGGGGCAGTTTCCAGCATTTGCCTGGGAGAACTGCACCCAAGCACTGCTGAGTTTCTTTACCCTCTCCTTTATTTTTAGAGAAAGTGAGGGAAATATAGTCTTTCCAGTGGTGAAGATCATGGTGATCATAACTGAAAGATTGTCTGCTAGTGACTATAAAATCCAAAGCAAAAATTTTCCAGTATTATGCAGAACTCTCTCACTAGCTAGTCACAGCCAGACCTCCTCAGATCTAAAACCAAAATGAGCTGGGTTTGTAATGACAAAGTCTACTTAATCTACGAGACTTTTCCCAATACTTGTATTGCATAATCCATGGTCTTGTTATGAATTAGCTACAGCAAATGACAGATTGTCTCAGACCAGTGGGGAGGTGTTGTGGCTCCTTCTGCAAGAATGAGTTTAGTCCTACAGTATTCTTGTCTGCAGTGCTACTGGTGTAGCAGTATGGGTGTGTTTTCTAGAACCAGCTCTCATGACCCAGTGTAACCAAACATTACACAATTTTTTGTATTTACACTCTGCTGTGTTGCTGTGATGTGACCTTTTGGTGCAAGTCTTTTGAACTTTAGTATGTTGAAAGTATAAAACAGATCTGAAGTATCTGAAGTTTGTATAAGCAAACTCAAAAAACCTGACTAAACACAGCATTTTATCTTCACCATACGGCATTTGGCTGAGTAACTGAAACTTGTACTCTTTTATGTCCTTTTGGCCTTTGTTTTTCCACAGTCAAAATGAAAAGCATGCATTGAGTATCCTTTTTTTCTTTTTTCATAGACAGCTCTTTAGGTTTAGGAGATTGTTTTAGCTGGTTTTTGATTTAATTTTGATTAGCCATTATGAAAAGAATTTTTTTTTTTAAAAATATCTCTTAATAAAACTATGGTTCCTGTGTTTCTGTGCGCTGTTTCTGTAGTAGGTATTAGAAATATTACCTCAATATTATAAACAATTTTAATCTGAATTTTCTTGTTCATAAACCAATAATTAGGGTGGATTTTTTATGGGTGTGTATGTGTTTATGGTTTAACATTGCATCAGCTAGCATGGTTGCAATTCTGATTGTAACCATAAGAATATTTTGGGTTTTAGAGGGTTTTTTTTTCCTTTACTAACCTAAGCTATACTTAGATTGCAAAGCTCTTCATAAACTTGACTTAACCCTCACTGTTGCTATTGTACTAGTTTTATAGTTTCTCATACAGCTCGTTTGTAATATTTGTAATACAGAACAGATCTTTGAAACCTGACTTTCATTCCACTTATTGAATATGCTGTCTTTTGCTTACTAAGCTAATGACTGTCACACCACTAATTTTTATATTTTTTTTGTTTCAAGATATTTTATGCAAGTGAACTATAATTTGCTCAAAAAATGAAAAACACATTTCTGAAAATTTCTATATATTTCAGAAGAATTAGGTGGTAGCAAACTGTTAGTTGTTTTTTCACATGTCCTTTATTTTGTTTTATTTTGCTGTATTTTGAGTTTTTATACAGGTAATAAATTATGAAGTGGTACAGTGTATGCAGTCCTGTAAAAAGCATCAGGTTATGTTAAATCATGGAGGATTGGGCAAACATGAGATCCTCTTATAGATATTAAAAAGGCAAAATCAAGATAATTTACATCATCTTTCAGTGTGAGAGATGTCTGATCAGAATCACACTAGAGTACTGACCAAAATAAAAAACCCTGTTAAGAGCATCCTAAAAATGTGCGTAAAAAGTTTTGGGGTTTTTTTGCTTACAATTATTACAGTAAGTATTCTATATTGAATGCTATGGTAGCTTTTATTTTACTGAGCTTCACCTGAATAAATTTGTTCAAAATATCTTTGCAAATGTTTCTATTTTTTTTCTATTTACAAGGTCAGATTTGCCTTTGACTGTATCTCTGTTATTTCACTGAATTTCCCTATTGCTTCTTGACTGAAACACTAGCATCATAATTTATCCCTGAATGTGTTCTCTAGATCGACCTTTATTGTTTTTCTTTGTATTTGAAAAAATAAGAATTAAGCATTAATGGGAAGATGAGTTTTCTCCTTCCTGAAACTATTAACACCTTTGAAAATCTACTTCTGGTCTGCTCTGAGATGTTAAGTTTGGTGTGCAAGGGCTTTCATATTCATAAGGTTTTTCTCATTTGCTGACAATGTGCTGGCTTTGTGACATGATCATCTGAAATGTCTAAGTTTTCAGTTCTGTGTGTTCATTTCCAGAAGCCAAAGGAAAGGATTTGAACATCTTTTGAGGATGTAATGTCTCCCAGGGTTCCTGTAAAACTAACTGTAAAGATTTACCAAAGATTTTCAATGGAGGTGAAATTTGCAATGTGCCACAAAGATGAATTACTCTAGATTCTTATCAGCCAAAATCAGAAATAGTTTTTTGAGTCCTGAAACCTTCATGAGAAATTCCCTACTTTGAGCATATCTGCTGTCTAATCAGAGCAATGTAGCTTGAATAGGTCACTCCTGTGATACTTAATGTAATCGGATTCCAGTGTGCTTGGTTTCAAGTGTTAAAACACAAACCTTGACTTCTGGGCTGTATCTTAAATATAATTAGTACAATTTTTTACAAACAGTCTCTATAATGAGACACCTTGTTTAGCAACAGCTGTTCCATGGTTATCTAGAGGAAATCAGGGCTTAAAAACATCCGGTTTACATAATTGTGCTGAAAAGTAAAGTTCTTTCTTTCTTTCACTTGGGTTGATAAGGTCTTCCCGTGTTCTAGTGGTTTTCAATAATGTAGTTCTCTTGCCTGTACCATGCAAGAGATCTGGATATTCACATTTTCATCTTTCAGTTGGCCCTCTTGGAATTCATTCTCCTGGAAATGTGTATCTAACTGGCATGCTTACAAGATGTTTCATGTGGCAGCTTGTCACCCTCCTGTCAGACATCCTGGGTGACTGGGCATTACTTTCAGAGACAAACTTTCAGCACAAGGTATAGGGCTGTTTCCTCTCAGGCCATAATGATGGAAGTTGAAAAACCTGAGAATCCAATTCTTGCAGACATCGAATGGATACCATGTTATTTTTCTTCTGGATTTGGTCCTAAGACTCACAGGGTTTTCTCAAGTATAGTTCACTACATTTTCAGAATGTGCAAAGGGCACAGCCATTCTAAATTGAAGTTAAAAACATGAGACATTATTTTAACCAATTACCTTTTCTGTTGACTTACCTATGTATTGTAATAATTCATCAGACCCAACATTAATGATTTTTTGTATTAGAGCATCACTTAGATTCTTTAAGTACCAACTTCTGCTTTTGCTAGGCATAAAATTTCCTTCATGTGAAGAAATTATCTGGGTGTCAAAGTCAGTTGAAATGTGTTATGAAAATCAAAGTATAAGCTCACAAGGAATTGAAAGGTATGAAATGTTAGGAAGATGAGTACAGTCTTAGATAAAGTATCTCTGCATTATTTTTAATCATCTGTATCTCATACTTTTTGGTTATAGAATTTCATACTGTCCAGGAGTCTTACAAAGAAAATCCCACACATGTCACTTGTGTCTCATCACAGGAACAGAGAAATTCAGTTATTGACCTGATTCATCTGGCAGAGATGCTTTTCACACAAAGGCACAGTGTGCACCAATTTTTCTAACTCAGCTCTAGAGAATCTCTCAGAACTTCAGTCTCCTTTTTTTTTTTTTTTTTTCTTTCACTGAAGAGGACAGCAGAATTATGTCAATCATTTAGAAATTTCTAACTGCTTATTCCATGCTAGAATGGTGATATGTACTCATTTTCTTGTCTGTCTTTATGTGGTTTTGTTGGATATTTTTCAGTTAATGAATCTTGGAATCAAAAGCAACAAAAGATATAACTTTAATTATCTTCAAAGTTTTGTTTTGTTCATGAGACTCTCCTTAAGTGAATTCAAAATGGAAGAAAATCTTTCTTCTCTGTATCAGCCCAGTCTAGGAAAAGATGGAACTTATGCACAGGAAATATATTAAAATACAGATTTTTTTGAGGGGAAAGGGGAAGTTTTAAATTCAGGCAATGCAAGGTTACCTTTCTTACTCTGTGAATATTATCTACATAATACTCCTCTGGACTATTTAGACTGCCTTGGCAGCCCACTTTTCTATATTTTT